AAATTTGATGATGATTAATTTGAATCTCAAATCCCCCTTTAAGCACTATTGTTTGCAACATTGCAATGGAGAGTTCACTGAAAGGCAATGATTTATGCGTTTCCACTGTCAAAGTATATTTGTTCCACCTAAAGAAGTTTACTTGGATACTTAGTAAACAATGCCAACAGCGGAATCAAAACCATCAAAAGCGCGTAATTTATCTAAAACATCCAAAGAATTTTTTACACTCCAAAAATGGTTAGTTCCACTCTTTTCATATGTTTTATTACAAAAAATAATGATAAGTTCTTTGATAGTAGTTAAGGAACTCGTTAAAAGCACTGAACGATTAGTAGTATAGGACACTTACTAGAGGCGGAGATGAAACAATACTTTTACGGGTTTTTTGTGTAGTTTACGTAGCCAATACACAGTGAGGACCTTCAAATGCTCAGAGGAGGCCTTAAGCTGAGCTGTGGTAGTGACATGTTTATTTACTATATTAATCTCTGTGGAGCGTACGGCCTTGAATGTAGTTGAATGTATAATTTCATTCTTAAGGACTTCCGTATATAGTATTTACGTCATACCACCACCACTTTGTTGGCTGCTTTGTCGGCCGGTACGAACACAAAACGCTTTGCAAGTATACTTGAATTTTGTTTTTAATTATAGAAATGGGCGTATAACTTGTTCTTTTATTTATTTCTAAATTATTTTCGAAACGTAAAATGCGAATATCAACAATATTCAGACATTTATTTATATAGGAATCAAGTGACTTTTTGTCCGATTTCTCCCGTCTACACCACTTTTTACAATAGGATGAAAGAGCATCTTTAATAACCTGACGACACTCTCCCAAATTATTTTCGACGGTGGACGATATTTTGGTCCTTTTTTCAGAAAGTTTACCTCTCGGTCTTGAACGATGTTGAGGTCCCCTGTAAGTACGTGGCCATAGGGATCATAGCGAAACTTCGATGTTTTACAGTCTCATGTCGAAGGAGCATTATTTTCTATACCGACGTCCTGGTTGTTTCAGGACGATTTGAAGTGGTTGGAATTTAATAAATTTAATATTGTGTTTGTGTTTTTCCAAATGTTGGTAAATTAAACTTTTGAATTTCTCAGGTCTGCGTAAGCGGTATAGATGTTCTTGTGTTCGTTTGAAAAATTCACGTCCAGTTTGCCCTTCATATTGAATACTACATATCGGTTTTCCACGTGCGTTTTTGTTGAACAATCTAGCTAAAGAGGCATTGCCTCCTTTAACACAACTGTCATGATTGCGACATGTGCTAAAATTTGAAAATTTTTAAAAGTAGATAAGAAAAAGAGGCCGAAAGTCAAAGCTTTGAATTTGAATCATAGTTACGGGATGAGTAGTAGCCTAAGTAGGTAGTGCAGTCGAAGAGTTCTATAAAAAAAAAATGAAGTTAACTGGCCCGTGACCACAGTTATTTCGTTGTGCAATTTATTTTTTGGCAATAAATTCAAATGAAAAAAAATCGCTCCTGCTCTATCTATATGTTCATCATGTTTTAGCACCCCAGTTTTTTCTATTCTTTATATTTTAGTATCCCATTATTCTCTATTTGTATCATATTATTTTCTATTCATTTTTTTGTCCATTGTGTGTAGTCTTTGTCCATTATTCTCTGTTAAATCAACCCCCCCCCCCATCCAGACCTTCATTTGTGTATATGGCAGGCATCATTATTTGTCAAGTTATATACAAATATTTAGAACGAAATTTATATTTTAGTCTTTTAGCGTGTAGTTTACATAATATTCTCTATTTTTATCCGATTATTTTTTATCCCTTTATCCCTTTTTTGTGTCCATTCTGTAGTCTTTGTCCATTATTCTCTATTATATAAACACCCCATCCAGAACTTCATTCATGCATATGGCATGGCAGGCATAATTATTTGTCTAGTTATATAAAAATATATATAGAACGAGATTTACATTTTAGTCTTTTAGCTTATAGTTTACATAATAAATCTAAAGGAGATACTACAAAGCCAATGAAAAATACTTACATTTTCAAAATATTAATTCAAATAAATCCTGACAAAACAATTTAAACGAGGTTAAAACGAGAAGAAAAGAGTTGTATTTTAGATCATTTTGTGAAAATACATTTGTGAATGTATGTGTAATTTAAAAATGGTTATTTAAGCGCACATCTCGTCAATGTTTCTTTTTAGCAATCCCATATTTTAATTTTTCTCTGAAAACTTAAGATTCTGTGCAAATGGAGGCAAATCAAATTTACCAAAAGGTACCACATGGTGCTCTATCAGCAGGTGAGTGATATAGGGAAAACGGTACTATTTGTTCTGCCATAGGCGACAATACTAACATTTTCTAAATTTACCACTTTTTATAATAAAAACCTGGAAACAGTTATGTGTGGTGTTAGTACTTTATTATTCTGCTTTTAAAAATTGAAATAGTATCATGACCAACTTCCAACGGAGCTTGTTTATGTTATCCATGCCCACCGTCATTTTACACCAAATTTATGAAATTTTGGAAGTCTTTTCGAATAATTCTCTAGAAAATATTTCAATGGGTTTCAAAATTTATATTGTAAAATATATATACACACTTCAGTTATTCATAGACAAATTAAAAAAATATATTGTACCCTTACATCCAATCACAGCGCTCCTAAGTTGACTTCCTTCACCTGCCTTGGGTACACAAAAGGCCAACCTAATGCTGGGAAAATGTAATAGTACTATTTTCCCTTTATACCTTACTGGATGATGCATGTATAAAAGAAGAAGCTTATCCTGTCGACGCAGCCGTTTTCGCTCCTTTTGGAGTTCACGCGATTCCCGCTACATATATATGTCTCGTCCTAATCAATTTACGAGATTGTAACATCAATACACTCCTGTCGTCTTAATTAACATCACTGAACTCATTGATTAGTTGTTTAATTGACAATCATACCACACCTCTTTATTTTATTATCATTTAATCTGGGACTTACTGTTTCAAAAGTTTACATTGAAGTCTTAACATTTAATTGTTCCGTCTGGAAATCCCTTTAAGTTAAATGCATATTATGCATGATAAGAAACAACCTCAAGTAACGTAAACTTTTGTGACACCTTTGAAAGTATATATAAAAAAAAACAATATTCACAATTGAGTTGAATCCATAAGACATTTATCTTTGATTATATATAGAAATTGAAATTGAAGTATATTTAAGCTCACTTTTAAAAAAAATCAATGTAGTTTGATAAAACACAAATGCAATCACATTACATTAAATGTGTTTTTCTAATATTGAATTATTTTTATATTCATTTTTTTTTAAAGATATGTATCGTTCCTCGTGAGAAATAAAGATTTTGTTGATATTTTACCACTTTCATTTGTTGTTAGTGAGCATTTTCTGTGGCTTATGGAAGAAAACTGATAAAAAATAAAACAGAAGAATTGATCAACAAAAGTTCATTGATTTCAGCTAGGTTATCAAATTTAATTTTATTAGAAGACTAAATGCATTATGAGTGAAAATAACGATTTTTAACATCCTGAACTACTAGTAAACTTAATGAACTGGTTTTAATTATTGTTGTTTGCTTAATGTTCAGCAGCAAATATCACTTACTGCAGATGGTATGAAAACCTACAGACCTATATGTAAAGTCTGTTGATATTCACAAGTATATGTCCCAAAAATGTGCTATCATGCTCGCTTTACTAAAAGCATAACGTACAGTCAGACACTCAGTCAAGCAAATATTTTTGCAACGCATCACACAAACAACCCAAACACAAGTTTGAGTTAATTGGAAACCCACTTGAAGAGACGGGGGTACAAACATCAGACTATCAAGCAATGTTTTAAGAAAGCGAAGAGTATTCCAAAAAGCAAGATGTTCGAATACGAAAATAACCATTACATGATTACATGTACTCTAACTTACCACCCATCTATAAAATGCCGCTTCAGTGTCATTCTGGAGCATTGGAAATCATTCGGAAAAGTACAATAGTATCTAATATCTTTCCAGACCCGCTCCCTTTGATGAACCTACTGAAACGTTGGAAGTGTCTAAGCCCAGTTTTGGGTATGGAAAATGCAGTTCGTGTGGTGACAAACGCTCCAATTGCTGTACACAAATTCATCTTTTCATCAACATTGGTCAGTAAGGCCCCAATAATCCATAAACTATTTTGCAATGTGACCTGCAAAAGTTTTATGTTATTTTCACTCTAGAATATTTGGTATGGTGATGTCCAATATGGCCATAGGAGCGATATAACAAAAATCTATATCTTACAGTGAACCAAAACAGTCTGACCACAATCTCGATGACTTGATTAAAATTCTTGTGGTTGAATACAGTGATGTCCATAGGAAAGTACTGGGAAATAATCTGAATAAAGGAACTAAATATGCTTCACAAACAGAGAGGCATAGCTGACTTTTTTGTTTCAAATTTCAGTGGTATCTTTTTGCTTTATATCCAATGTTAAACATGAATACACTTATTTTTATGTATAGATTTGCACCCACGCATTTTGGATTAAGTTTGATATATACCTTTCAAGATAACTGATTTAAAATTAGTAAATGAGCAGATTCCGTAATTGCATTTTGAAAAGACAGATTGACATTGACGAAGGCCATTGTCGTGCCGAAACGTTTGTCTCTACGATATTTTATTTGAGATTATTCCTATATATTATCTTCATCAGTATTGTTTCACAAATCTTCAGACTTTTCTTTACAAACATCTCTTTCTAGAATACTTATTTAATATATATATCATGGTACAACCGAAAATGTCACGATGAGTGTTTTGTTAAAGTATAAGATCACGAAGAGGAAATTATACTTCAAGTGACGATATACACTTGAAATAAGATGCCAAATTATGTAGTTTTCGAGGAACCAGAACTTTAATCTTTCAAAGAAAATCTTATGGCCACGAATCGGAAAAAACAACTTGAATGGTATTTTTATAAAATTATATATTTTTGGAATGTCATCTGGTTATAATCATAAGGCGGTTTGAACAGTACTAAACAAGGTAAGCTTGAAATTTGTGGACTATATCAGAAATGTTAAGTACACACTTCAGTAATGTAATCTCATTGTTATAGATACAACTAAATATCAATATTATAGATACAATAATTAACAAATATAAAATTTACCTTCTACGCAACATGAATTAGAGGACAACGTTTTTTTTTACGAATAAAGAACCAATCATTATATTATGTGTAATATAAAAACCGAAATGAATAGCTGTAAGTATCAATTATAATAAACCATCAAAGTTCTCCTTCTTTGACACCCGCCAGTCAGGAAATTCCAACAAAACGAGATAAACTAGGCCAAACTGCATTCAAAATACAATCATAAAACCTATACTTATATTTGTAACCTGTATCCAATACCCCATGCTCGAAAGACCGTCTCCGGAGTCGCACATTTGACAGTACACTATGAGATATGTTTATATGAGACAATCTTAAAACAAAGGGGCAAAAAATGCCAAAGGGGTATTTAAACCCAAAAGTCGAAAACAAACTGGCAATGCAATGGCAAAAAAAAAAGAAAAACGATCAAAAGATAAACAGTATACAAAACACAACATAGAAGACTAAAGATTGAGCAACACGAATCCCACCAAAAACTTGGAGGTGATCTCAGGTACTCCGGAAGGGTAAGTAGATCCTCCTCAACATGTAGCACCGCGATGTTGTTCATGTAAGTACAAACCCAGTTATAAGTCTAATTCGAATGGTCACATTTGAAGAAAGAGGACGGGATTGTACGACAATTGAAACATATCCGTCCGCATCTGTGAAACAGATATTCCATAACGTTCAGCTAACTCGTGATGGCGTCCGTATAAAAGGTATCAATGAAATAAATTAATCCTGTATTTTGTGTATCAGTACAATCAGCAAACAAAATACAGTTCATTTTTGGAAAAATATATATAATAATATCAGAAAATCCTAATTAAAAACGAGTCCAAGATAAAAAAGAAGAAGAAAACTCAAACGTTCTCAATTATATTAAACACTTTGAATTGTGAACATCATGGTGTTGCCTGTAAAAATAAGAAGATGTGGTATGATTGTCAATGAGACAACTCTCCACCAGACACCATATGACATAGAAGTTAACAACTATAGGTCACCGTAAGGCCTTCAACAATGAGCAAAACTCATACCGCATAATCAGCTATAAAGGGCCCGAAAAGACAAATGTAAAAAAATTCGAACTAGAAATCTAACGGCCTGATTTATGTACAAAATAATGAACGAAAAACAAATATGATATACAGCAACTAACGACAACCACAGAATTACAGGCTCCTGATTTCGGACAGGCACATACAGAATGTGGCGGGGTTTAACCTGGGACAGTGGTGTAACACTACAACTTAAAGAGCAACCATAAAAATCAGTTGAAAAGGGTTTAACTCATCAGATCGATACAAAGCAGAAAAACATCTAACAAAAACACAGACCGGACGTTGCAGGGTGTTTAAACATCCCCACAGCAAAAAAGACACTAAAGAGAGGTGAAGGATACCAAAGGGACATTCAAACTCATAAGTCGAAAATAAACTGACAACGCCATGGCTAAAAAAGAAAAAGACAAACAGACAAACAACAGTACACAAACACAACATAGAAAACCAAAAACAGAGCAGCACGAACCCCCCCCCCCCCCAAAAAAAAAAAACCAAAAAAACTGGGGGCGATTTCAGGTGCTCCGGAAGGGTAAGCAGATCCAGCTCTACATGTGGCACCCGACGTGTTGCTCATGTTTGTATAAACCCGGTGATAAGTCTAATTCGGTAGGTCACATTCGGGGAAAAGGGGACGGGATTGTAGTTACGAAAATTGGTACATATCCGTTGTCATCTGTTAGTACAGATCTGAGAGTATTCGCAGTAACTGACAGCTAGCTCAAATCAAATAAAAATTTTAAAAAATCATGCATCTAAGACTTAAATATCAATCAGTACACATCCAACATCCAATTGATTTAGTGTAATGACGTTTTTAACAGTCAGAGAAAAACCTGACTTTGTGCAATGCCAAGATACATGTATCTACAGATTGTTGAGCCATGAATGTGAATATGTATATAACAATAATATTTAGTTTGATTTTAATTTACTGATAACAAAATCAATATTTATACCAATGAAAACAATATTCAAAGATGTAATAACAGTGTTGAATTGGTAACCTTTTGAAATAAGTTTTATTTAAAGGATCGATAAGTATACCTGGCTCGTATATAAATTTCCAGGCTCGGTAAACAACATGTCCGTAAAAAATAGGATGTACTATTCCGTTTGAAATAAGTTTTCTAAAGGTACAGCCACATTTCAAAACCAAATCTTTGTATCTATGGCAGAATTTAGTAAAGGTTTTAAGAAGTTTGTGGTAACGAATTGCCTGACTTAATTATTTACCAGTAATACATAGATTACGTTCATTGAAATCCAAAACGTCACTACAGACACGAGCATAGCTTGTTTACAAAACTTTGTTTCATAAGAAAAGACTGGCCATCGTAGAAACACATATCTTATATTAGGAAGGAATAAATCATACTTTGTAAAAAAAAAACCTCACTCTGATTAAAAAAAACAAATTCCCTGAAACTGACATCAAGAAAAGAGAGGCGAAAGATACAAAATAGACATTCAAACACATAAGTCAAAAATAAACTGACAACGCCATGGCTAAAAAAGAAAAAAACCAACAGACAAACAACAGACAAACAACAGTACACAAAACACAACATCGAAAACTAAAGACAAGATGCTTGATTTTTTTTTATCGACAACTTATTTGTTACGATTTGAGGAGGTGTTTTTAACAGACAATCGGAATTCCAGTGGGAAGCAATTATGCTCCTCGTTTTACCGACTATCATTGATTCATTTAAGACATACTTCATGTAGGAGCTTCTTAAAAGAATTAAAAGAAGCTAGCTTTATCCGTTCCGCGATATAGATTATTTCCTCTCACTGAATAATTCAAAGTTTGATGACGATGTGTAATGCATTTATCCAATCGAACTTGAAATAAATGATACCACAGATACAGTTACTAATATTTCAGCCACATATCTTGACCTTCATCTAGAAATTGACAATGAGGGTCGGTTAAGAACAACGCTTTACATAAAAGGGATAATTTCAGCTTCCCAATTGAGATCTTTCCATTTCTTTGTATCAAAATTTTATCAGCGCCTGCATATGGAGAATATATCTCCCATTTGAGAGGTTTATCTAGCTATACAGTTTAATCCACCATTTTCTACATAAGGAAATGCCTGTCCCAAGTCAGGAATATGACCGTTGTTTTCCATTCGTTTGATGTGTTTGAGCTTTTGATAAAGGACTACTTTCCGTTTTGAATTTTCCTTGGAGTTCGATATTTTTGTTATTTTACTTTTTTTTGATACCATATTCCACAGCTTGAGTTTCCTATCATGATTTTCTTGATAAAGGGTTCAACTTGGTTACTTGTAACTATGATGAGTTCATTGGTGAAATTGAATTCATCCCTTCAGAAGTTTTACGGACGCCATTGGTTGAACGTTATTGAGAATCTGTGTCACTGGTGAGCACACATATGTTCCAATTGTCGTAACCACAACCCCGCCCTCTTTTCCTCAATTGTGACATCACAGAATGAGGCTTATCGAATTTGTACTTCCATGATCATAACGACGGGAGCAACATGTTGATCAGGATCTGCTTACCCTTCTGGAGCATCCGAGTTCACCCCCGGATTTGGGCGGATTCGTGTTGCTCAGTCTTTAGTTTTCTATGTTTGGGGTTCGTGTTGCTCGGTTTTAGTTTTCTATGTTTGGGGTTCGTGTTGCTCGGTTTTTAGTTTTCTATGTTTGGGGTTCGTGTTGCTCGGTTTTTAGTTTTCTATGTTTGGGGTTCGTGTTGCTAAGTCTTTAGTTTTCTATGTTTGGGGATCGTGTTGCTCTTTCTTTAGTTTTCTATGTTTGGGGTTCGTGTTGCTAGGTTTTTAGTTTCCTATGTTTGGGGTTCGTGTTGCTCAGTCTTTAGTTTTCTATGTTTGGGGTTCGTGTTGCTCAGTCTTTAGTTTTCTATGTTGTGTTTTGTTGACTTGTTCGTCGTTTTTACTTTTTTGTCATGGCGTCGTCAGTTTTTATTCGACTTATAAAGTTTGAATGTTCCCTGGGTATGTTCCGCCTTTTTTGGTTCCAGTCCACCGTTAGCCTTTGAAAGAATGATTGCTCGTAGGCGACTACGTTTCTTTCATTATAGAAACGGTTTAACATCTGGCACGGTTATCGTTTCAAGTGAGATATTGTTGACGATCTAAGTTAATGAGATCATGCTGAACCTTGAATACCATGTATAATCTGTTTGTTTTCCTCTTTTCTTCGAGGCTTTCCCATTTCAAATTTTTTTTTCAAAATTTCTGACACACCATGGTGTTCATTGCGAGTTTTGCACAATTTGCAGCTCTTTACTATCCTTGTTCTAATGTTCTGATGTTACGTTGGTTTGTTTGGTCTCATAATGTGTATAAATATTCCAATGTAGGTCTTTTTATGTATGAATATGCTGCAGCCTATAAAGGTTTTGTTCAAAGGAGTAGGTGCAATAAGGCCCTTATTTGGCCAAAATATTAGTGCAAATCTAAAGGTCATCAAACATATTCTTAAGTTTGTCCTAACTACACTTAGGTATAAGGCATTCAGAAAATAAAAACAAAATACACATTTAACAAGTTACCATGGCAACAAAACATGACGAAATTTGTATATTTTGTAAAAGATCTTGATTTTCCTTGTTTAACATCAACTTTAAAGTACATATTAGATTGGCAAAGTATGTGCACACCTAAGAAACAACTTTATATTTTGTGAGATAAGTTGACAGTTATAATAAAGCTTCTCTTAAATTATTTTGTTGTTTCTTGGCTGCACACTGTTTCCACAATGAACATAACAAGGATTAATTGCATAAATTCTGCAGTTTTCTTCGTTTTCATGAAAACGGTGCAGTTTATGACGTAATCATGACGTCATCAAATCAAAAAGTTTATGTAATTAATTTATATTTCTTGACTTTTTGCATTTCCAAACATTAAGTGCAAATTTGAAATTGTTTTCAAAACTTTATTTTCTTGGGCCAAAACAGGGCCTTAATGAGATTCTGGTTGACAATTCTTTCATTTTTAACCTTCAATCATGTGTGCTTTTATTCAATTCAATACAGATAATGTTAAGGCAATTGAAGATCATGTATTTCAGAATGTATTTATAATTTCAGATTTAACTGCGATACAAATTCGAATCAATCAAGCATGTGTAGAGGATTATTGTTATTCAGCTTATTAGTATGTGCTTGTTATGCCACTTTTCCAAGAAGTGTTGTCAGAACATTAAGTGTGTCAAACGGTGGCCGCTGGGGTGAATGGCAAGAACCAAGTTTTTGTCCAGATGGACAATTTGCTAGTGGTTATAGATTAAAGGTATAATATCATATTTCACAGTGCTGTTTGATAAGAAAGGTTAAAAGTTGTTAATTCTGATGTTTCCTCGTCTTGTTTTATTAACTACTTTCATGTACATACTTGAGAAAACTTCATTTGACGAAAAGATGTACAATTTTGGAAAAAGTTTAATACTATCCATGCAATGTACAAGATATCTGGGTTTGGCTTGACACTTTTCTTATTTTCAAAAGTTAGTTAAGGTTGATCACCCAAATTTGTCAATATAACAGAATTATAAACAACTGCCATACAAGTTGGAGGTTTAGCTAACTATTAAACTAGGTTTGACCTACCATTTTCCTCGGAAAATGCATGTACCAAGACAGGAATATGACAGTTGTTTTTCACTTGTTCTGTTGATTTTAAAGCGTTTAATTTTGTCAGTTTTTATGGACTTCCCCGGCCTTTTTTTAATTTGCCTTGGAGTTCGGTATTTTTTGTTATACTCTTTTAGAGCACCGCTGAGACGTCTTCATCTTACAATGTAGATATCTTCTTTTTTTTTTTACCGTGAAAGCACTTGTTAATGAGAGGCGAAAGATACCAAAGGGATATTCAAACTCATAAGTCGAAAACAAACTGGCAATGCCATGGCAGAAAAAGAAAAAATTCGTAAGGGTTCCGCGGAACCCAGTGTCTCGCCTACTTTTTCTGTTAATCGCAGGCTCAACAAAAATGAGGAAGTAAATCAATAAAAATATTCCTCTTGATACTATCTTTTGATTGTAAGAAGCTTCTGTCCAAGTTTGGTAAAAATCCAGGATAGTTTATGAATCTAATAAATGTTTAAAAACTTTAACTGCAGACTGAATGTAATGTTAACTGGAAGAAAACAAAATTTCCTTCTAGCATTTGATCATAAACAAGCTTCTGTGCAAGTTTGGTACAAATCCAAAATAGTATAAGAAAGTTATTAAAATTTTAAAAACTTTAACCACAGAGTGAATGTAATATTTCCCGGCAGAAAAACTAAGTCCATTTATAAGTTAAATACGGAAAAAATGGAATTTTATTTTTACAAAATTTACTTCTGGATACTATCTTATGATCATAAACAAGCTTCTGTCCAAGTTTGGTAGAAATCAAGGATAGTTTAAGAAAGTTATTAAAATTTCAAAAACTTTAACCACAGAGTGAATATTTGTGGACGACGACGACGACGACGACGACGACGACGACGACGCCGACGCCGACGGAATGTAGGATCGCTATGTCTCGCTTTTTCGACTAAAGTCGAAGGCTCGACAAAAACGATCAGACTACAAACAACAGTATACAAAACACAATATAGAAATCTAAAGACTGAGCAAGATGAACCCCAGCTAAACCTGGGGGCGGACACATGTTATCTGGAAGGGCAAGCAGATACTGCTTCATATGTGGCACTCGTCGTGTTGCTCATGTAATTACAAGTCTAATTCGGTAGGTCATATTCGGAGTAAAATGTCATTTGAATAATTTTTTCATGATCAAATGATACTTGAACCTCTATGCACTCGGAGGGTTTTGATGTAGAAAAAAATGAGCGAAAAGATCCCATGTCAGTTATATTATATCAATTGTAGGTGTTTGACCGCTCGGCGTATTAGTAAAGGTATTTTTTAAACAATTCATTAGATTCTAGGTACTGACGTTGTTTATCATCTTAATTACGTGTTATAGTGTTCTTTTATTTGTCTTTGTAAATTATTAACGTATACTGTTTGGTCCATTTTTGGTAATATCCCTTAGGCGTGGCTCGGTACTTGTACATCCCGCCATTGTGTTGTTGTGTTGTGGTAATTTTTTGTATTCTTGTGTTTCATTTTTGCGTATGTGCTTTGTCTATATGTCATTTTGTTTTTCTTTGTTGCCATATTTGGTTGGTTTTTTTTTATAGTGATTGAGATTATAACACAATGTTGACTGCTGTGCACCTATTTTTGACATTTTTACCTATTATGTCTGTTAGTTTTGTTCACACATTGTTGTCAATATAATGGAATTTTATGCGACTGGCATACAAGTGAGAGGTTTAGCTAGCTTTAAAACCAGGTTTAATCCACCATTTTCTACATAAGGAAATGCCTGTACCAAGTCAGGAATATGACAGTTGTTCGTTTGATGTATTTGAGCTTTTGATTTTACCAATTGTTAAGGGACTTTCCGTATTGAATTTTCCTTGGAGTTTGGTATTTTTGTTTTTTTACTTTTTACTAATCTTTTACAGTCCAAATAAAGATACAGCTGCAATTTGTGTTGTAATAATTTGTTTCTTATGATAATTAGAAATGGAAAAGGATATCAGTTTTGCCAACACAGATTATAAACCATTATAAATATAGACAGGAGACTAGTATGTCTATTCTTTGTTGAACCAGATGAAGGATAAAGAGTCACACGCAACGAAAGGATCTGAAGAAAAACTATAGATACATATTATCATCATCATAATAAACTACGCAAAAATAATATGGACATTAATAATAATAATGATAATAATAACATAAATAAGACTGAGATAATATATATTGCAATGTTGATACAGATTGAACCAAGAAGAGGATCATATTTCTGGCAAGACGATAGTTCCCTGAATGGTATAGAATTATTGTGTAGTACCAGATCTACTACCTCCGATGACAGATTTACCGTATCATCTGGGTATGGCCCTTGGGGAGATTGGAAAGGATTGATTACATGTGATAGGAAAGGACAGTTCTTAACCTCCTTCTCTCTCCAAGTTGAAGATTACCAGGTATTTTATTCCAAAAATAAGATGCATTACAACTATTATTTCTAATATGAATGTTTTGATAAAAAAAAATTAAAAGGAAAACCTCTAATGACTTTTCTGAATATTTTACAAATGTGCATGTGTACTTTAAGAAAACGGAGGGAGAATATGACAGTGTGATAACAAAACAAAGTAAGTCATGGAAAAAACAGTCACAAAGTTAAAAAAAAAAGCGACTGATAGACAAACAGCAGATAAAAAACACTACCCAGAAAGCAAAAGACATTGAGCAACAGGAACCAAACAAAAATTCGATGGTGAATTTTAGTCCTGTGGAAAAGTAAGCAACTCCAGTTCTACTAGTGGTATCCGTCGTGTTGCTTATTCGGTGACAAGTCGCATTCAGTAATGTTACAATCCAAGAAAAAAGGACAAGATTATTAGAATTATTGAATGCATTTAGATAGCAGGAATTTGGAAAGTTATATTCTTGATTCTAATCTGTTATTTTAAGTAAAATTTCGTCCATTCATTTCTATACGAATAATATAAAAATAAAACATACAAAATTGAATGTACAAAATTGAATGTTTATAATCGCGAAGTAGCAACAATGAATTTGTATACTTATGTTAAAGTCTACAGTTGATTAATACCAAACGGTTTTGTAATTATAGCAAATGAACACAGAGAGCTTTAATTCATATTCGAATTCTTGTAAAAACTCCGAGTCACAATTTTGACCATTTCATTCAAAAATACCTTAGTCTTCTTACTAAAAACTAACATATAGATGTATGTTATGTACAAGTTGCTATCATGCAAAAATTGGTACAGACTTTTTGCACATATCATATTAAGAATCCCACTTTCTTTTACCAGGTATAATACGAATTCATCTCCAATAAATAACAAACTATATGTGCTTGTCCCATATCTGGAGCCTGTTTTTCGATGGTTGTCGTTGGTTGCTGTCTGTAATTTTTGATTTTCTTTTATTATTTTGTCATAAATCAGGCCGTTGGTTTTTTGTTTGAACTGTTTTAATTTATTTATTTAAGAGCCTTTTATAACTCACTTTACAATATGGGTTCTGCTCAATCTTTAAGGCCGTACGGTGATCTATAGTGCGTGTTTTGTAATAGAAGGATATAAATGTTACACTGGCGAGAACTTTTCTTCTGCATAGATGGAACGAAAGTAATCTGATTATCAGATATCGAATCATAAAAAATATAAGGATAAATATACACAGCACCAATCTTTCACACTGACGGGATCCTATCATATCCTAGAGGTTAAACTCTTGACATGTCAGTGAAATAGAAATGTCAGAGTTTAAAAGGAACAATATAAATAAACTGCTCTGATTCTAAAGTCAAATGAAATGAGTTTCTTGTTATGATAATGTTAGGAAAATAATTGAACCAATGCATGCATATATACTTAAACAAGTCCACCATGCACGCTTTTGTTTACATGTATTACGAATCTATAACGTATTATCGACAAATAATATTTCATTCAGTGATTGTTGATCGCAAGCTAATTTACTTTCGAGTTTGTTACCGAAGTTTACCGGATCGTGACACTTATAAACAATTAACACAGAATCATTGGCACGTGGTAAAAAAACGAATTGATAGAGCGATGTTCATTTTTTTTAAATTTTCTATGCGTTTTCATTTGTTAATTTAACTTTTCCATAATAGTTGTTAAATGATTTGGAGTATTTTATTTGTTGTTTTAGAAACAATTACTACTACTTGCCTTCCAGTGCACCTGGTTAACATTATTTCATAACGGTTTTTCCCCGCAGTAGCGCTGTTCGATGGTCGAAGATCTAACGAGAGGTCTCGCAGTTCAGGTCACAGCAAACGGAAGAATATCGTCGAATTAGAGAACGAGAAGACAACAATTCAATAGTAGTACATTTCTGAAGATTTTGATCAGTAAAATTATTTTCTTTTACAAGAAAATCCACGTTCATTTGTTTTATAGTAAAACTTAGCCATTCAAGTATAAAAAAAATAAATTAGAAGAACAAAAATACCGAACTCCACGGAATATTCAAAACGGAAAGTCCTTTATCAAATGGGAAAATTTAAAAAAGCTCAAACACAACAAACGGATGGAAAACAACTGCCATATATCTGATTTGGTACAACATATTCAACTTTTGTTTTAAATTTGTATCATATGACTTTAATGGAATGCAAATGTGTCTTTTAATTTCAAACTACAGTGAATCTATCGTAAAAAAATAAATGTCTAAAGAATTAGCAAACTTGTTTTTCTGTTAAAAAGATGCATAGAGCAATAAAAAAAGACTCGTTTTCTTTCAAAAATGAGGGCTCTGCTATTAGTCGTTTTAACCTTTTAAAAACACATTTCATTGATATGCCGTGGTTGATAATGAACAGGAAACCATATAATCAAGACGGAATATGTAAAAAATAATGCATTAGCGGATTCAGAGGGAAGATACTGGTAATATAATCAAAACGAAATATGTAAAAAATAATGCATTAACGGATTCAGAGGGAAGGTACTGGTAATATAATCAAGACGTAATATGTAAAAATAATGCATAAGCGGATTTGGAGGGAAGGTACTGGTAATATAATCAAGACGTAATATGTAAACAATATGCATTAGCGGATTCAGAGGGAAGGTACTGGTAATATAATCAAGACGTAATATGTAAACAATAATGCATTAGCGGAGTCAGAGGGAAGGTACTGGTAATTACCCTTCTATAAAGGGATATTTTTTGTTAAAATCAAGCAAATCGAATTCTGAAACATTTTACTTCAAAACATCACCGATCCAAAGATGAATCTCCAAATCCTAGCTTCCTTGCTTTTAAAAGTTACTAGACTATGCCATGATGTAAATTCTTTTTTTTAAATACTTTGTATGTGTAGATTCATATTTGCAAAAGGGTTAAGTATCATTGAACCTAGTTCAAAGCTATGAACGATATTGCTACCATTTCTATTTTACGCACGAAAACTGAATTATTGTCAAGAATAAATAATATTTAACGAAATATTGAGAGGGTTTTTTTACATTTAAAGACCGGGTGGGGACAAAATGAGTTTTCCTCCCATTTTTTTGGAAGGGAGAAGTTATGACATGCGGACGATAAAATATGAGTTTGACCAATTTATTGCACAAACATATTTACTTAAAATCGTGTATATATTTTTGTTATTTTTCTGTCATTTATTACGGTCTCATTAACCTTTTAAAACATCACCGAAATCTTGTATTCATATTTCATAATGTTGTCTTAACGTAACCACATTATTATAATGATGTAAGTTAACAGATAGAATGTGCACGGGCTTATTCCAGAACTATTTAAGAGGATAAGTTGATTAAATATATAGCAGTCAAAACAATCAAGATGCTTTGTTATAAATTTCGAAAATTTATAACGAAGGATTTCTGCTCAAAATTATATAAATTTTATTTACACATGTATATAAGCTAAAATTGCAACAGGATACTCAAGCCCAATTGTGTTCGCAATCAGCCCGCTGACGCAGATAAACTTTCGATCTGTATGTATTTACTTTTTCACAGGTGTCCTTGGGCGGGGCTTGAAATTTCATTTGAGGTCGAATGAAGTGACCAATGACAACGATCGTTCCTTTACGAGTTGATCTGATAAAGTTTGTTTGGCTGATTATGTTGTTGGGCCTTTCGCTAAACTTGACCGAAGTTTGGTGTAGCTAAAAAAACTTAGAATAAATAAACTAGAGGCTCTAAAGAGCCTGTGTCGCTCACCTTGGTCTATGTGCATATTAAACAAAGGACACAGATGGATTCATGACAAAATTGTGTTTTGGTGATGGTGATGTGTTTGTAGATCTTACTTTACTGAACATTCTTGCTCCTTACTACTATCTCTATCTATAATGAACTTGGCCCGGTAATTACAGTGGAAAATACTTAGTAAAAATTTACAAAAATTTACAAAATTTATGAAAATTGTAAAAAATTGACTATAAAGGGCAATAACTCCTTAAGGGGTCAATTGACAATTTTGGTCATGTTTGCCTTATTTGTAGATCTTACTTTACTGAACATTATTGCTGTTTACAGTTTATCTCTATCTATAATAATATTCAAGATAATAACCAAAAACGGCAAAATTTCCTTAAAATTACCAATTCAGGGGCAGCAACCCAACAACGGGTTGCCTGATTGGTCTGAAAATTTCAGGGCAGATAGATCGTGACCTAATGAACAATTTTATCCTCATCAGATTTGCTCTAAATGCTTTGGTTTCAGAGATATGAGCCAAAAACTGCATTTTACCCTATGTACTATTTTTTAGCCATGTCGGCCATCTTGGTTCGCGAGCGGGGTCATCAGACACATTTTTTAAGCTAGATACCCTAATGATGATTGTGGACAAGTTTGGTTAAATTTGTCTTAGTAGTTTCAGAGGAGAAGATTTTTGTAAAAAATTACAAAAATTTACGAAAAATGGTTAAAAATTGACTATAAAGGGCAATAACTCCTTAAGGGGTCAACTGACCATTTTGGTCATGTTGACTTATTTGTAGATCTTACTTTGCTGAACATTATTGCTGTTTACAGTTTATCTCTATCTATAATAATATTCAAGATAATAACCAAAAACGGCAAAATTTCCTTAAAATTACCAATTCAGGGGCAGCAACCCAACAACGGGTTGCCTGATTGGTCTGAAAATTTCAGGGCAGATAGATCTTGACCTAATGAACAATTTTATCCCCATCAGATTTGCTCTAAATGCTTTGGTTTCAGAGATATGAGCCAAAAACTGCATTTTACCCTATGTACTATTTTTTTAGCCATGTCGGCCATCTTGGTTCGCGGGCGGGGTCATCGGACACATTTTTAAAACTAGATACCCTAATGATGATTGTGGACAAGTTTGGTTAAATTTGTCTTAGTAGTTTCAGAGGAGAAGATTTTTGTAAAAGATAACAAAAATTTACGAAAAATGGTTAAAAATTGACTATAAAGGGCAATAACTCCTTAAGGGGTCAACTGACCATTTTGGTCATGTTGACTTATTTGTCGATCTTACTTTGCTGAACATTATTGCTGTTTACAGTTTATCTCTATCTATAATAATATTCAAGATAATAACCAAAAACGGCAAAATTTCCTTAAAATTACCAATTCAGGGGCAGCAACCCAACAACGGGTTGCTTGATTGGTCTGAAAATTTCAGGGCAGATAGATCTTGACCTAATGAACAATTTTATCTCATCATATTTGCTCTATATGCTTTGGTTTCAGAGATATGAGCCAAAAACTGCATTTTACCCTATGTACTATTTTTTAGCCATGTCGGCCATCTTGGTTCGCGAGCGGGGTCATCAGACACATTTTTTAAGCTAGATACCCTAATGATGATTGTGGACAAGTTTGGTTAAATTTGTCTTAGTAGTTTCAGAGGAGAAGATTTTTGTAAAAAATTACAAAAATTTACGAAAAATGGTTAAAAATTTACTATAAAGGGCAATAACTCCTTAAGGGGTCAACTGACCATTTTGGTCATGTTGACTTATTTGTAGATCTTACTTTGCTGAACATTATTGCTGTTTACAGTTTATCTCTATCTATAATAATATTCAAGATAATAACCAAAAACGGCAAAATTTCCTTAAAATTACCAATTCAGGGGCAGCAACCCAACAACGGGTTGCCTGATTGGTCTGAAAATTTCAGGGCAGATAGATCTTGACCTAATGAACAATTTTATCCTCATCAGATTTGCTCTAAATGCTTTGGTTTCAGAGATATGAGCCAAAAACTGCATTTTACCCTATGTACTATTTTTTTAGCCATGTCGGCAATCTTGGTTCGCGGGCGGGGTCATCGGACACATTTTTTAAACTAGATACCCTAATGATGATTGTGGACAAGTTTGGTTAAATTTGTCTTAGTAGTTTCAGAGGAGAAGATTTTTGTAAAAGATAACAAAAATTTACGAAAAATGGTTAAAAATTGACTATAAAGGGCAATATCTCCTTAAGGGGTCAACTGACCATTTTGGTCATGTTGACTTATTTGTAGATCTTACTTTGCTGAACATTATTGCTGTTTACAGTTTATCTCTATCTATAATAATATTCAAGATAATAACCAAAAACGGCAAAATTTCCTTAAAATTACCAATTCAGGGGCAGCAACCCAACAACGGGTTGCCTGATTGGTCTGAAAATTTCAGGGCAGATAGATCTTGACCTAATGAACAATTTTATCCTCATCAGATTTGCTCTAAATGCTTTGGTTTCAGAGATATGAGCCAAAAACTGCATTTTACCCTATGTACTATTTTTTAGCCATGTCGGCCATCTTTGTTCGCGGGCGGGGTCATCGGACACATTTTTTAAACTAAATACTCTAATGATGATTGTGGACAAGTTTGGTTAAATTTGTCTTAGTAGTTTCAGAGGAGAAGATTTTTGTAAAAGATTACAAAAATTTACGAAAAATGGTTAAAAATTGACTATAAAGGGCAATAACTCCTTAAGGGGTCAACTGACCATTTTGGTCATGTTGACTTATTTGTAGATCTTACTTTGCTGAACATTATTGCTGTTTACAGTTTATCTCTATCTATAATAATATTCAAGATAATAACCAAAAACGGCAAAATTTCCTTAAAATTACCAATTCAGGGGCAGCAACCCAACAACGGGTTGTCCGATTCATCTGAAAATTTCAGGGCAGATAGATCTTGACCTGATAAACAATTTTACCTCATGTCAGATTTGCTCTAAATGCTTTGGTTTCAGAGATATATGCCAAAATCTACATTTTACCCCTATGTTCTATTTTTAGCCATGGCGGCCATCTTGGTTGGTTGGCCGGGTCACCGGACACATTTTTTAAACAAGATACCCCAATGATGATTGTGGCCAAGTTTGGTCAAATTTGGCCCAGTAGTTTCAGAGGAGAAGATTTTTGTAAAAGTTTACGGACGACGGACGACGGACGACGGACGCAGGACGACGGACGACGGACGCAAAGTGATGAGAAAAGCTCACTTGACCTTTCAGGTCAGGTGAGCTAATAAAAATATAATATAAAACAATGTATTATGATACTAGTAAAGTACAACTGTATAACTTAAGATTATGGCCTTTTCTGTACCTACCTTTTTTTACTACTTTTACTTCACACGCGGTGATTTAAAAACTGTATTTTAGTTGAAATACGATGTATTAATATGTTAAGCGCTAAACACTTTATATTTTCAGGGAAATGGAGATGACACTGCAGCCAACTATGTTAAATTTAGTTGTCAGGAGTTTGGCCGTCATCGCTTCTTTGACCGTTATCGCTACATTGGTGGAAGAGGTTTTTGGGGAGGTTACGGGGCTTGGAGTCAGTATTGTCAAGAAGGAAGTGCTATCTGTGGCCTGAGAACTAAGCTGGAGAGTCCTCAAGGCAATGGGGATGACACAGCGTTAAATGATGTTGAGTTCTATTGTTGTGGAAGCGATTAACATTTCTTTGTACACTACGTTTAACATTTACTTATTGTAACCTGCTGCAAATATATAGCAGTTTTACTTAATTACAACAGTTTTGTAAAGAAAACAATATGTTATCCCAACATATATATGTTTTTGTTGTTTTTTTTTTAATTTCATAGCCCATTTTTTAATATCAATTAAGGCAACTGTAGTATTTTGATGTTCAAATCTCATAATTCAATTACGATCCTGGTAACAAACAAAAACTAAGGGAATTGTATTAACTACGTAAGGAGCAAGACCGGCTGCATCGACTAGATAAACTAAACAATGCTATTGATTAAAGGAGTTACATTCATCTGTTGAAAAATGTCTTGATCAGTTGACATTTAAGTAAACTCTTTTGCGAAAATTACATTTCAGTTCCTTTAAATTAAAAATGCAGTTATATTCATTGGTCGATTACACTAACAGGAAATCTGCCAACACTTGAGTTGTGTCACACATTATTAAAAGTTAAATGTGACATATGGCTAATAATCTTGCTGAATTGATTTATATTTATGATGTAATTGAAGTTTATTTGATAGATTGATGACAAATCTAATTAAATGAAGTTAAATTTAAACACCAATAATTTATTCCAAAATTTTTGGGGTCTCGGTGACCGAGTGGTCTAAATAGTTCATCTACTGTATCACTACCCAGCCAACATTGAGGTTACGAGTTTGAACCCCGTACATGGCAGGTGCGCTAGAATTCAACCTTAATTGGCAAGGATTGTCAATTTTCCTGTTGAAGGTTGGTGGTTCCTTCTGGCACTCTGGTTTCTCCACCAATAAAAGCTGGCCGCCACGAATAGCTTATTGTGCTGAAATTGGCGTTAAATGCCAATCAATCAATCGGTATATCCAAATTTGTAAAAATAATATTGTTAGCAATCAAAGGTCTTCAACAATGAGCAAAACTCATACTGCATAGCAAGCTATAAAAGGCCACACAATAACAAAATGTAAAACATTTCAAACGAGTAAACCAACGGTTTGATATATGTACAAAAAAAAAACCAACTAAATACACATGATATACAGCAATAAACGACAACCACTTAATTACAGGCTCCTGACGTGGGACAGGCACATACAGAATGTGGCGGAATTAAACAAGTGTGCGGATGCTCAGTCATCCCATTACATGGGGACAGTAGTCAGACAACAAAACATAAGAACAAACTATCGAAATCAGTTCGAGGGAGCTTGACTAATCAGATCGAAATGAAGCACAAAATCAATTAACAAAAACACCGAATAACATACAGTACCAGTCTGAATGGTAGTTCCAACCAAATAACAACTGATGAACAAATTATGTATCAAAGACAGAAAATCAATCACGCGACTGTCATACAAGTGAGAGGTTTAGTTAGCTATAAAACCAGGTTTAATCCACCATTTTCTACAAATCGAAATGCCTGTACCAAGTCAGGAATATGACAGTTGTTTTCCATTCGTTTGATGTGTTTGAGCTTTTGATTTTGTCATTTGATAAAGGACTTTCCGTTTTAAATTTCCTTGGTGTTCGGTATTTTTGTTATTTTACTTTCTTCAGTAAGTTTAGGTGTAAAGACGTCATAAAGAGTCTAGGAAAAACATGACATGGCACAATGTCAAATCATAAGCATCAACAGGATGTAGAACCGTAAGCGTTGATAACTATATAGCAATACATATTAAGTTATATTAAGATTAATTGAAAAGAAAATCTATGTTAATACCGATGAAAACAATATTCAAAGATCTTATTTCAATGTAAAATTGGTGAGCATTTACATGAATCTTATATAAATTTACGGGGTCTAAAACAACATCACCGCAAACACTAGGATGTGATATCACGTATATAATACGTTTTACTTTCATACCAAACTTCCAAACCAAATCGTTGCATCTATAAAAGAATGAAATAAAGGTTTAAAGTAATTTGTGGTAACGAAATCCTTGAATTGATATTTTACCAATGATGCGCATATTACATTCATGGAAATCTATAACGGCATTACAGACTCCAGCAATGTGAATAGGAATAAATAAACTCCGTATGATAAAATCAAACGAAACATCACTGTCAAATAGAGAAAAATTAACATTAGGGAACGGAAAATCGTCCATTTTTCGTAAATTTTAGAATTGAGTTTTGAAACTGAAATATCTAAATCTAGGACAGGACAGCATTAATATTATTCAAGATACGTTTCTTTGGGTAAATTCGGTTGTATATTTAGACGAACAACGAACAAATATCATCAAGGTAAAGGTAGGTGCTGTTGAATTTATTAATTGAATGAAATTATGTCGGATCTTCAGTAAATGTTGCCATAAACAGTGATTCATAACAACACAGGAACAATTCTGCTATTGATTGATAGGTGTTTATTTTCCCTTTCAGCACTATTGTGCTATTTCGTGGCGGTCAGTTTTTATTGATGGAGGAAGCCGGAGTGCCCAGAGAACCATCGGCCTTCGGTAGGAAAACAGATAATCCTAGTCAGTCTATTGAGATTGAAGTCGAGCGTACCTGCCACCTGCGGGATTCGAACTCACAACCTCAGTGTTGATAGGCTAGTGATACAGTAGTTCGACTACTTAGACCACTCGGCCACCAAGCCCCCTGTCTGCTATTGAAGGGCCACACTAATTACCAATAGGAATACCTTCAACCCGTCTATAAACATGGCCAAAAAGTATATAGACGTTGCTGAGGAGAAAATTTAAAGCTTTAATCATGTTATTACACCTCCAGTACGCATATCTTTTTTCATTACAGAAGAAAGCTTTATATGAGTTTCAGCAACTAATTTTGCAATCAGATTTTCAAAAGGATCATTTAATTATATAGGAAAACCGTTGTTTTGATAAGATTGTGTATAAGATAAGTGTAGAGGGTAGAACATTTCAAAACTGTCAATCGAATTTAAAGGACCATCAAAAGCACGATTTTTTCTAAAACATCAAAAGGATTTTTGACCTCCAGAAATTATTAATACCATTATTTTCATACGCCTTACTACAGAATGTAATGATAAGTTTTTAGATAGTAGTAAGAGATCTAGTTAAAAGCAGCAAAACATTAGTTTGTAGAACATTTAAAAGAGGTCGAGATGAAAGGATTTTGACAGTTTTTTGTGTAGTTATTTGTCTTTTTATTTTTGGCCATGGCGTTGTCAGTTTGTTTGCGATCTATGAGTTTGACTGTCCCTCTGGTATCTTTCGTCCCTCTTTTAGGTAGCCAATACATAGTGAATATATTCAGATGAGGCATTAAGCTGAAATGTTGCATTATTATGATTGATTTCTTGATTCTATGTGGATCGCAAGGACCTGAATGTAGAAGAATTGATAATTTCATTCTTTAAAACTTCCGTGTACACTACCAGGAAGTTACATAGCATTTATATGTACTTTTAATGCCACTGCATCTCCAGTACTGATAACAAATATCATCAATCAGTGCATTTCTTACCCATATCGTTTCGATACATTTGTTATTATGCATGTTTTCAGTAATGTTGAAAAAAAGTTGTTTTCAGTTCTGAAAGTTTTAGTCATTTTACTGTAATGAAAATTTCAGTCATATTTAGGTACTGTAAATTTCAGTCATTTTGAAGTACTGAAAATTTTAGTCATATTCAAGACCTAATTAAAAAGTTCTCTGTTATGCTATCACAAATATTATGAGTTGGTTTAGGATAAATAGAAGTATTTTCTTTTAAAACTCCATTACATTTTTACCCGTTAAGGCATTGGACCATACTTAAAATTGGACCTAACATCATAACTTACATGTACATAGGTTTTAAAACTAGTGCTCAGGATATAAAAATTATATCACATTTGGTGAGTTACAATATCAACAATAACAAAACAAGAAGAAATTTTTATTTCCTTGCTTTGTTTCAACTTTGATATGTATATTGTTTTTGTACATTTAATCTGGATAGACAATTAAAAGTATAACAACTTTATATTTGACGAAATTGTGTAAATAGTATAAGCAAAGAAAGCTTCTCTCAAAATGTTTGTTGTTATTTTGGTGCAGACAATGTTCCAAAGAAACATAAAAGGAAAACTGCAAAAAGAATGCACTTTTTTCGTTTTTGTGAAATATGTGCATATTATCATGTAATTATGACATCATAACATTATATATGTTGTCAAATTCATTTATGTTTCTTGATTTTATATATTTCTTTTATATCATGCCCAAATTTGAAGTACATGTACTCCCGGAAACTACCATTTCTTGGGTCCTATATGGATTGACCTTCATTCCAAACAAGTTTCTTTATCTTCATGTCCCATGAAAAATAATGTTATGGACAGAATGAACAGAGATTTCAGTGATTACTTTTCATAGAAAAAAGATGGTGTTATGTACATATAAGCAGCAATCTTAAAATCTTAAAATATTACTGTCATTTTAGATAAAATGTTTAACGTCACTAAACAAAAGCGATGTGTGTATGATTGACGTCAATATGTTAAGTGTAGCCGGATCTAAAATAGTGATTAGGGACGACCATTGATTCTGAAAGTGGTTGGGTGCTGGCAGATTTTGATAATAAATATTCTGGTAACTATTTAGTTGGAAATAAATTTCAAAATATATATTCTGACCCAAAATAATGAAAACGTACTAAGTTATTTCACTCGCTCTGTTCGCCAAATGTACAAAGCATGTACATATATACAACACATGAATATTGTCGGTAGCAGATGACCATAAAAAATATATAATTTTGGGCTTAAAATCATAAAAAAAATCAGATTTACTTTACCTTTTGTGATAATTATGTTCCTTCATAGCATTTCTTCTTTCTACTGCTCTAAATATAATTATTGTTATGTTAATTTGAGGAGAGGCATGTTGTTTACGGGTTAAGAAAAGTATTAAAGACGAAAAAACAAAAAAAACTTTGATTTTTATTGAATTAATTTTTCACTTTTATAAATGTTACATATTTGTATTGTTTATTGTATATTTGTGTTATTTTGTAGCAGTCTGATTGTTTGGATTTTACACTTGTAAATATTTTACATCTTATATCATCTTATATCATAGTATTGTTGACAATTTCTACCAGCGTCCTTCTCGTCATCATAATCAGATGCGTTTTAAAAATCGACTCCGGACGCAAGATTTTCGGATAGCATGAAGTCTTTTTCATTTTTTCACATGCTTTTGACTTGTTCTTGAAAACTTTAAGATAATTATATATATATATATACATTATAGATGTTATTTGTATTATCTGGTTCTGTCCTGGCCTTATATAACAGTTATTGTAAAACTGTGTTGTTTTCTTTTATGTTTCTCAATTGATGTCTAATCTTATGTATTTGTATGTAATGTAATAAAAGTTCTTTATAGAGCCCTTTAATTGGAAATAAAATATTCTTATTCTTATTATGGCACCCTCAACGGAGATGGGGTGACATATTGTTATTCTACGTTTCTTCTTTTTTTAATATTTTTCTTCCACTTTTTTTGTCCGCGGCAGTTCTCGGAATTGAATGGACCAATGTTGATGGAACTTTGCTATAATATTGACCGCAATGTGAAGTTGATCCT